CTATTCGAAAAATTCCAAAAACCTCCAGATATGATCTATTATATCCTAAGTTTCAAACCCAATTGGTTTCACTTGATTTGCTTATCAAAATAATTTTTCTACAATTTATTATATCCAAACAGGTTGTTTTCTGCAGCACTTTAAAGAAATTGACGGTTCTCTTAATATACACGAGAAATCAATGCAAGGCCAAAAAGGTATGAAACTAGACTCGTAACCGGTTCTAATGACGGTAATTTGATAATTTTTGGATTTATACCCAAAGAGAACAACAATCCCGAATTTACTGTTTTGGACTGGTTTCCTGGACAGATTTGGATACCTCAATTTATATGAATTTTGACTCCCAAAAATTATGAAAAAATTCAGATATGCAATTCAATGTGTAATTGATCTACTGTAAAAATTTCAGATTAAAATTCATCCGTTTGATATGGTTTCTTGATTTTTAAAGTTAGCGATTATGTGCAGAATTTTTTGGACTAAGATTCACACCGATTCTTTATACATGAATTTAACTCCTTAGATTTCTTAACAGCATATATATATACACAAAATACATACACCTACAATCTCTCCATCAATGAATTAAATAACAATATTATTAGGATAAAGAACAAAGAAAGAAGAGAAGAAAACCTAGGAAGCCACACAGCACAACACACCCAAAGCTCTCCTTCTTGGCTACAACAATAATCTTGATGATTGAAAAACCCCTCTCTTTCCTTCATAAACCCACGGCTGCTAGGGCTGCTAGTGTTGTGGAAAACAATTATAACAAGAGTTAGGGTTTGTGTTTATTTTATTTTATACTAGTGGTGGGCACACTTAGGTCAAATAGATAGATAAATATACAAAATACATATATAAGTTACATGTAATTCAAATGGTAAGAGTCTAACTTATTAATTTTGTGGTCTAGAGTTCAAGTCACACCCTCTTCTCTATTTTTTTTTTTTTAATAATAAATCTTGCTTCTAAATCAATGACTTTCACCATAAATTTATTTTAGGTTTAAAATTAATTAAAAGATCCTCCAATAATATTTAATTTGCACTTAAAGATTCATAATAAAATATTTGAGATTTGTAAAATTATTATTTAATTATTTACTTAATTTTTATATTCGGGTTCTCACACTAGTAACTCCATATTAATTTTCAAAAAAGCAACTATTTGCTTTACATATTTACTTAGGCATCTAAAGTTGTGCTCGACGTTCTTTCATAATATAAAAAGCATCTATGATAGAATCTACATCAAAATCTCGAGCGATGTTTTTCCCAACATATGTTAATAAGTAGCTTGAAAGAAAATCATCATTCATCCTGTTGCGCAATTTATGCACATTCTGTTGTCGCCGTAGAAACTAGTAAAGTTAGAACAAGACGAATTAATCTATCAACAAGAGGATAAATTGTTGACTTCCTTGTTGTTACCAACATTTGGCACAAGTCAGAAATTGTCAACAACTGCTGAAGCTCAGGATGTTTAAGGATGTCAATCCCGTAGTTTTGCAATTGAAATTTCAAATGTATTTTTTCTTGCTCTGTAAAGTCATTAGGATAAAAATTGATTTGCAAGTTTGCATATATCTTCAATTTTAAACGAACTGTAATCATCCCTAGGATCTAAAGCAGAGCTAAGAATAAGCAACTCCATCACATCTTCTTTGAATCTGTTGTTCAATTTTTGCAATTGAGAATCACATATAATTGTAAAAATATCAACCCGAAAATGATGCTCAATAGTAATGTGATCTCTTTAGTGACAAGCACAACCTCTACCAGATGTGTGACAAGCACTCATATTAGGATATCTATGTTATATTTTCCACAAAATAGTTGAACATTCTCGAACAAAGGAATCCATCCATCTTCTCTATATTTTTGAACAATTGCTTTTGTAGTTGACACTAGATGCATTGCATTCAATATATCTTGGGATTTACGTTGCAAAGCTTGGCAAAGATCATCAGTAGTCTCCAAAATCTCTCATAAAATGTAAGATAAACACAAACTCAAAAGATGTAATCTTATCATAAACTCCATCTACATCTGCACGTTGAGTAGATGTGGCTCCATCATTGATGACATTATTTAAGACTGAACAAGTTGCACTAAACATATTTATCAAACTAGAAATAGATCCCAAGTGAGAACCTCATCAAGTATCTCCAGCCCATTTCAATGTCCCAACTTGATTTTTGCCTTTACCAGTTTCAACTTCATCAATAGCAAGTTTTGCTACAATTTCTTCAACTTGAGCAACTTTCAACTGATCATGCCTTTTACAAGAAGAGCCACATAAATTAACTGTGAGAGCTAGATAAGAAAAGAATTGGGCAACGGGTATAACCTCTCTGGCTGTCGTTACCAATGCAAATTGGAGTCGATAAGCAAAGTAATGAACATAATACGCAAAATGATAGTCATGAAAAAATAAGGCCTGGAACCCAATCCACTCTCCACTCTTCCAAGTTCTATATCATTTACACAGAGATAAGGATAAGCTTT